TTTAGAATGCTGAAGACTCACTTTATTAAAATTATATTTTATTACACTATACTATAACTATACTACATCATACTTTCTTCTAACTCACTACTCAAAACTTGTGACTGTCCCCCAACAGTCCCAACACACACACGTGGAGCCAAGTGGTCAATGAACCAAAACACTATCACCAGAATCCAGTCAAGCCATCCTCTTGGGTAAACAATCTCCAGGACATATTCCACGTGAGTTCAACAGGAGCAGCAAATGAGATAAGAATTGTTTATTCTTTCTCTGAGTTTCCTTGCGATTCCCAGGAAATATTCTTGGGAAGTTTTGCCTTGCTTTTCTCTGGGAAGCGAAATGCAGCCACGCCCCAGGGGTGGTGGGGCACCTCCCTGGGCAGCCCTTCCAAGGCCTGAGCACCCTGCTCTGATCTGAACCTCTCCTGTCTCAGCTCAAGGCCATTCCCCGGTGCTCTCACTGCAGGCACAGCACAAGAGACCGACCCCACCTTGCTACAGGTGGTATGTGAGCCCCTCTGAGCCACCCTCCACTGGACACACTCCATCCCCTCAGAGTCCTTTTTAAAGTGAGGGGTCCAGAGCTGAAAGCAGCACTCGAGGTGCAGCCTCACCAGCAGGAGTGCAGGGGTGATCCCCGCTCCACTCTGGACAGCAGCCGGGCTGCTGTTGGCCTCCTTGGCCGCTTGGGCTCACTGTTGGCTCACAGCTGGAGCCAGCACTGCCGGGTCCCTCCTGCTGCACATTGAGCCACTCCTCCCCAGCCTGGAGCTGTGAGCCCAGTGCAGGAGCAGCACTTGAACCTCATGCCCTGGAGCTTTGTCCACTGATGGAATCTCTTCAGGCCTCTCTAGAGCCTTCATGAGGTTATGTGCTCACGCTGGTGCTGCTTCGTGCTTGTCTGGTTTTCTCTGCAGCTGAAGCACTGGGGAGGTAAAACCCTGAGAGCCTTGAGATGCCATGGCATGGAAACGTTTGTGTGCTGCTCTGAGGAGATGGAACTTTGGTTCTCTGATGGCTTCAGAACCTCTCAGAATTCTATTTTGACTCCTCTTTATCACCTTTTTAACATTTCCAGCTGTGCTGCAGCAATTAAACCTGTAAAAGCCTGAAACCTGGGGCTCCCAAATCTCTTGCCTGACACTGTCTGTGAGGGGTCAGGGTTTTCACTATCCTGGACGATGGGTCTGACTCTGTGTCAGGGACAAAGAACTCGTACCAGCACTCCTGGAGTTGTTTGCAATGGCAGCAGGGCTGGGAGAGCAGGCAGGGACTTGTCACAGTTGAGATAGCCACAATACACAGAGTATCAGCATACAGCATCAGAAAGCTTCAGCCCAAGCAGAGTAACACCACAGCACTTCAGGGGGCTTCAAGCATTGACCTTTCTTGTTCTTTAGCCCAACCTTTTATCCCCTCCTGTATAGGCATGTGTCCCTTGTGGATGGAGTGACCAAATTATCCTTTGTCTCCTTAAAAAGGAAAAAAGCCCACAAGTTTCTCTCCTCAATTGGGTAAAAAGACACCTCATAGGATCTTGGGGACTTCACCTCAAAGTTAAGGATGCCCAACTGGACAGAAGCCAAAAAGTCCCACCTAAGCAATTCACTAGAAAAAGAAGAGAAAAAAAATGAACTAATTGCTTTTGTGGGGTGATTTACCAGGAGCAAGAGCCTCTTGCCTCTGGCTCAGGTTTTCTCTGTAAAGAGCTTTGTTATTTCACCTTTTAATAAGAAGTACCACTGAAAAACAGAAAAGCTAAACCCTGAGGTATCATCCCCACCACGCTTTACAATGCATTTCTGCCCTCCTTTCCCTGCCCACTCTATTCATAGCTCAGTCCTTCCTGCTGCACCCAAAACAGCTCCCCAAGCGCAGGCTGCGGCGAGGGGAGCACACCTTACCCTCATTCCACCTTGGCTTGTGGTCTAACGTCTGCTGTTCTTTTCCACAGCCTCTCCCCTCCCTGCCACGTGCCACCGATCCCCCTTCGTGCTGCACTTTCCAGAGGAAGTGGTTTTTGTGGTGGGCTGCAGGCGGGCACCAGTGGTGACCCAGATCTCGACTGTGGCGTCATGGAACTTGTGCTGTGGCCTCTTCCTGCCCCAGCTGCACCAGCCCCTTTGCACCTCCTGTCCTGCTGGGTTATTTCCTGGCTTCGCTTTGCTCTGTGGTTTTTGTAGCTCGAAATAAACAACAAAATGCAGGGAAGTGGGGGGGGTGGGCACGTTGTGGTGGTGGGAGATTGGCAGCCTGATATCTGAAAGTGGCTTTTGTGAAAAACACCAATCACTTGTTTTTAAATTTTTAAAAGTCTAATAGTAATAAAATGGTTATAAAAATAGCAACATAATTAGAGTAATAAAAATTTGGACAATTAGAATTAGGACAATACAAGACAATAAAAACAGAGAGTTACAGACAGTCTGGGTACCTCTTTCTGGGCAAAATAAGCCCAAAAAAGGACCCAAGTTAACAGAGATTAACCCTTAAAAGCAACAGCCTGTTGGATATTCATGTACCTCATACATGATGAATAAATTCCATTCAAACAAAGGATTCTGTCTGGTCAGTGTCAACTTCTTCCTCTGAATCCTGGCAGTTCTTCAGGGCTGAGGAGGCAGGAAGAAGTTCGTTTATTCTGATAATGGGGCAATAAATTCTTTTTCTCTGAAAGATTTAGGTGTCCTGTGGCTGCTATCTTGGTGTGAGTACCTAATTCCTCTTTTAAAAAAGTATCTTACATAGCACAGTTTCTATTTTAACATTATGTTATAACCTAAAACTATATTTAACATACTACTTTAAGAAAATTAATACATTATAACATTCTAACATAACACATATAATATTCATTTTCATATTTGGGAAAAGCTAATCATAAAATATGCATTTTTCACATCTTTGAAGCAGACCTTGCAAATTCACGGCTTTGCAGGTCACATGCCAGGAGCCATTTTAGTAAAAATATTTAACTCATCTCCCACTTGGCAAATCCTGTCCCTGGAATCAGTTTAACCTGGAAGAAGAAGGACTCAGGTGTGGCAACAGAAGCAGCACAGTCCTTAACTCCTGCCCTTTCATCTGGAAGTGAGTTTGAAGTGCAACATAAAAAAATTTACGATGGTTATTAATTTTAAAAAGTGATGCTAAAGGTAGATGAGTATGGAAAGTTTTCTTTCACATCCCTGAAAGTTTCTGGGATGAGGTTAATTGGTTGGAAATCTGTGAAATGCAATGACTTATGACTTGTTATATAATTCAAATATGGTTTAGGCAGCTTCTGCAGGCTGTTTCCCAGTGACACGGCAGATTTCATAATGAGTGGGATGCAGGCTCCAAGAGCTGCCTGGAATCCAGCACTTCCTCCAGCTGGAGAGATGAGAATGATGCCTGTGCCAAGGGAGAGACAAGAACAAATCGCTGAATCTGCACTGTAAAATAATCAGGGCAATCCCCAGGGAAGGTTTAAAGTTGTTCTGTGTCAGGAGGGGTCAGCAGCTCTGTCCCCCTGTGCCAGGTCAGCTCCTCAGGGACCTGCAGGACCCAGCAGGAGCCAGGGAGGCTGTGTGTGCTGCTCAGCAGAGGGGGGTCAGATCCTGGCATGGCCCTGCCACAGAGAGCACCAGGGATTTTGGCTAAAATGCTTGAATGGTGACCCTTTCCAAAAACAGCTCCTTGTGCAGGCTGTGCCAGCTGGGTGAGGGACAGCCACCCCCACTGTCCAGAGAGGTTTTTCCTGCCACTCTGGGGACTTGCACAGGCAAGGTTCAAGCTTTGCAGGGACAGTGGGTTTCTGTCAGAGCACACTTCTCATTTCTCCCCCACAGAGGAACCTCTGCTGATGCCTTAGTGGGGAAGAGTGTGGCACAGCGACTTCTGTGAGCCAGAGAGACGTTTGAGAAGAGGATCCATGTTTACCCCTCAAAGAATTTTCTACCAAGGTCATTGACATAGAAACCAAGAAAGAAAGGAGGATAAATAAGAGAAACTTCAACTATCTATTCCAATGAGCACTTTGGTGACCAACGAGTAAAATGTAAACCTATGAGTTTTGTAAGAATGTATAAAAAGCATGCATGTCATAATAAAAACAGTTTGAAGCCTTCTGAAAATTGAGTGTGTTGCTTTGTTTTGTCGAGACCTTAGGATTTTAGCTTTGGTATTTTTCATCTGTTTGTAATCCTGCAATTCTTTCCTGTATAACTCTAAACTCCACACACAGTGTGAGCTGCTGCTTTCCCCTTTCTGGGCAGACAAAACAGCTCCTCTCCAGGCCTGGGAATCCAGGACACCTCAGGCCCCGAGAGATGTGAACAAAAGTGAGTTGGGGAGAGCAAACTGGGGGTAAATTACTTCATTACCTGAAGCTGTAATTGGAAGATTAACCCCCAAAATGCAAATGGACCAAACTTATAAAAATATAAAAATCCGTGGCCCATGGTCCATTTTTGGGTGTAGCCCCTGGGGAGGCTTTGTCTGCCCAATATGTACCTGAAGGCCCTTCAATATTTATTTTTATTCCCTTGATTTTGTCTGGCCTCTGTTTTTAGGTAGTCCCAGAAAGGCATCAGAAGATGTTGGAGAAATTGATGTCACAAAAGGAGAACATTTCCCTTGCAGACTAGCCAGGGACAGACAGAACCTGGAGGCCAAGGGAGCCCATTGGTGCCATCAGTGCAGAGCAGGTTACACCCAGGGGACAGCACACCTCAGGGTCCTGTGCACCCCACAGCAGCATCAATCTGCCTCCAGGGAGCTGTGACCAGTCCCTGAGTGTGGCCAAGCCATGATTTTGTTGTCCCCAGCCAGCCCAGCCTGCCCCTGGGGCAGAGGGGTTCCCCTGCTCTCTGTCCCTCTGTCCCCACAGAGATGTTCTGCAGAAGGGCTTTGTTCCCACCCTCCCTGGTAAATCCCTTCCCTCCTGCACCCCAAAGCTCAGCTGGAAGGGCGAAGCAATGCCTCAAACAAAAAATAAAAAAAAGACAAACAAGCTTCTCATTTTTTTGTAAGAATTGTTTGTTAACAGCCTAAAGAAATGCCAAGACATCTCGTGGGTGCCAGTACAGTTCATGAATTAGCAGCATGCAGGTGCCACAGGCAAGCACAGTTCCAAGGTGGGCACACATGGACAGGTAAATATTTCAGTACATGTTTATGCAATTGGTACAAAAAGAACTTGTGAGATCTCAGGTTGTTAGAAGTAAACAAAAAGAACAAAAGTGGTTTGTATTTTTACTAAATACAAAGCCAAATCTTGAACTGGTTTAAATTAAGAAGGTGTTATGGTCAGATAGACTTTAAAAAAATCCTTTTTAATCTTTTTTTCTGTGACATTGAAGTGACAATTTCACTGAATTTGAGACCTGCAGCTCATCCTTTAGGGAAAAAACGGGATATCTTGCTCTGATCTAGCAAAAGGTGGCAGGACAATGCATCCTGAGCCAGTCTCCCTTTGCTTTTCAAAGTGCTTCATTTGCACCTGAAAAGGTTTCTGGGGGTGTACCCTGAGATATGAAAACCCTAAAGCTACCAAAACAGGAAAAATTCCCATTCAGATATTTAGCTTGCAGTTCTTAACACACAGCACTGCTCCAGGCAGAAGTCAACATTTTAATGGAAGTAACACCTTGGCAATGTATAATTAGAGCCAAGTGTGCTTCATGCAAAAGAGGTACAGTGTGCTGAATAACCCAGACATCTGGAGGGCACAACACTGGAAGTGTTTAATTTTGAGTGGTTTTATAGCAATGCAAATAAAGCAATTCAGAATACAATGGCTGGTGTGGTATGTAAGAGCAGCAAGGGATGTCCTTGCACAAGGAATATCCCTGGGCTCCCTCCTGCTTAAGATGCTCTCTCAAAGCAGATGAGTTTGGCACTTCAGGACTGCTCCACCTGGTTACTCAGTCCTGTAAGAAAAACAAAGGTGTGTTCAATCATTATTTGGGTTACAGCTGCACGATTGTAGAGCTGGAGTGTCCAGGCAAGGGAAAAAGAAGAAACAGACACTGGGAAAAGCTGATATATTAGGATTTGTATTAAAGTCAGTAACATCAAACTTTCCCAGCTGGAGACAGGTGAGGGGAGAAACCTGATGGATGAATGCAGGCAAGGGAAGGGATGGATGTACAAATAAAAGGGACAAATGTCATGAAAGGAAAATAATTTCTTATGGACCAGGAAGAGCACTTGAAGGGTGGGTGAAAATGGAATGGCCAGGGGAATGGAGGGATTTTACTGCTGGCAGACAAAAGAAGTCCACATAGACTGGATAGATTTTAGCTGCACAAACAGCTGTTCCAGAGAGAAGGAGCATTCAGAGCTGAAGAACCAATCCAGATGTTTTCTGACCCCTGCCCCAAGCATCCTCACCTTTTTTTTCTTCCACATAAGCACTGTCATCAGCACATTAAAAATTATTCCTTTCATTAAAATGATTTTGAGGCCCAGCTGTGACAAGGACAGGGTGTTCAAGTGTTCATCTGGAAAAAAAACCCCAGAAAATGAAGAGTTAAAAAAAGCACTGAGACATCCTCGTGTGCCAGACATAAAAGCTCTTTTTAACAAAGTTGCTCCATTGTGTCATGGAGTCAGCTGGCAGGGCAGGAAATGAGACTGGGTTTAGGACTCAGAGACTTTAATTTCTTCCAATCAATAACCACTTAATTATCCAAGATGCCAGTCTGCCAGCCACCTAACTGGTTTTAAATACTGTGCACTGTGAACCCAGGATGCTGGAGGCAGCCCTCCTTCCTCGCTCTAGATTTTTTTGAAGATGGGCAGGATGAAAGCAGTTTTTATTTTAATCATAGAATACAATTTTATTTGAATTTTATATTAATCTGAACTTACAAAGCCATTAGTATTTGAAAATATGTTGATCTAGAGTGGAGAAGGAGGGAGCTGTCAGCAAAAACTCACTGTAAGTTTAATACTGAGAACCCTTCAGAGAGCTGAAAGGCTGACTGTGTTTACTGATGAGCATTTTCCTGAAATGGTGTTTTGGAAATATTTGCAAGAGCACAGCTGCTCTGTGAGCAGGGCAGGCACCAGCTCTGCTCTTTGAAGTGGCAGAGCAGCAGATCCCTGCCCTGACCCCTCCCCAGGGAGCTGGGGCAGAGTGGCTGAGGTGCAGCCCTGTCACCTTTGGGTCAGCAACGGGGTCAGCAACACCCAGACTCCAGGCTGAATCTGAGTTTATTAGAAACCCATTATTTTATATATTCTTCATTAGAAACCCATTATTTTATATATTCTTTACTTAAAACCCCTTCTTTTATACTTTCTTCATTAGAAACCCATTATTTTATACATTCTTTATTAGAAACCCCTAGTTTTATACATTCTTCATTAGAAATTCCTTCTTTTATACATTCTTCATGAGAAATCCTTTCTTTTTATATTCTTCATTAGAAACCCACCCTTTTATATATTCTTCACCAGAAACCCATTCTTTTATACATTCTTCATTAGAAACCCTTTTTTTATACACCATTCTGATACAGCTGGACCTGACTGGTCATTTAATCAACACCACTGGCTAATTAAGGAGACACCCTTTGGTAAACATCTTATGAGAAAACAACTCTTCAAAACACCAGCTGCAAGATCGTTTTAATTCTTTCTCTTAACCTTCTCAGAAGTGCCCAGAACAATTCCTGGGGAAGTTTATCTGGCTTCTCTCTCTCTGAAGATTCCAGTCTATTCTGAAGTTTAGGAAACTTTCTCCATCAATGAGGGTCAGAGTCAGTGCTCCCGTGGGGGTCAGGGCACCCCAGAGCAGACAGAGAAATATCCCCAGTGCCCTGGGTTTCCACAGTATTGATTAAATGACCAATCAGGTCCACCTGTAGCAAGCTAAGCTATAAAAGGGGACAGGATAAAATAAATGGGGCTTTTGCCTTTTGCCTTCTGATAGAACTCTGTGTCATCTCTGACTCAATGGTGACAGGAAGACATTCACTTTAGGCAGGACAAACTTTTCTCCTAAAATGCTGTGTTACATACCTGTCCTGAAGTGTAGGGACAGCCCTGTGACACAGACAGCGCTGGCACCTGCAGAGAGTGACCACAAATGTCATTAATAACAAAAATGTACTTCTTCAGAGGTCTGTAAAGATATCTCTGCTTAGAAGGACTAAATTAGGATTTCTGGCCAACAAACCCTCCCATACACTTTATTTTCTTCTTTTTTCACGGCAAGCATAAAACATGATCTAATTAAACTTCAGTGTCACTTTGGACAAAGGCATTTCAAGCTTTCTATCCCCCCACAATGTGTTCTGCTATGATTGTACCAGACTGCTGACCCTTAATCCTGCTTCCACCAAGGAGGAAGGAAAGACAATGAAGAAAAGGAGAGACAATAAAAGAAGGAAAGACAATAAACAAAACCATCAAAACAGTTTTTTCCATTCAAGAGGGAGGGGAAATGTGGGAAATGGATTTGTAGGGAATTCTCCAAGCCTGGCAGGAGGCTCACACAATGTGCATCTGTGTGCAAACCTGGAGAGAAAAATGCTGAGTTAGAAATGCCATGGAATGGGACAGACATTGCTGAGAGAGAAATGGAACTAGAAACAAGTTTCAAAGGATGGTTTTATAAATAAGATTAGATACTTTGGAGAAACAGAATTATGAAAGATGTATTGTAGTGGGACCCACGAGGGGTAATTTTAGATGACTGGCTTTAAGGCATTTACAGCATGGGGTGGCAAAAGCTGATAGGCCAAGAAATGCTTATAAAGTTTCCCTTTTCCAGGCTGAACAATCCCAATTTAGCTTTGAGAGAGTAAGTAACACTGTTTCTTGGGAGAATGAACTATTGCTTGCCAGAGACTTACAGTGTGGGAAATTAATTTATAGAAAATTCTCAAAACACGTTTCAAGGTGGCCTTAAAAATAACGTTAGAGACTTTACAGAAATAGAGCTATGAAAGACATATTGTAATAAGACCCAGGAGGGGTAGTTTTAGATGATTGGCTTTAAGGCATTTACAGTGTGGTGTGGCTAAAGCTGATAGGCCAGGAAACACTTATAGTGTATTGTAATTAGGAAATAATTAGCTTCTGATTGTGATGGTGTGAATTATAACATCTGTATTGTCTCATCCTTCTCATAAGACTGAAAATGGAATGAAAGCTTTTAAACTTTTTTTAACTTTTAGCTTTTAAACTTTTTTTAACTTTTCTCAGTTGCCCCATTTCTGGGTCAGAAAAGGGATTAATCTGACATAAAAACAGAGGCAAGGAGGGAACATTCCAACAGGCTGCAGCCCAGCCCTGCTCACACCCAGAGCACCTCCAAGCCTGCTCCCAGCCCCAGAAATGCCATTACCACTCTCAGGGTCCTCTCCCTGCAGCTCTCCAAAGCCCTCGTGGCTGGCAGCACAGCGCAGCTCATCCCTGCTGGCCCAGTAGGTGGACAGGTAGCTGGACTCCTCCTCGCTGCTCCCAGCAGCTGCCACCCCCACGACAGCAGAGGTGGGCTGCCCAGCAGAGCTCAGAGTGAGCTGCTGGGGGGAGAAATCCGTGATAAGGCACATTTCCAGGCCCTGGGCATCTTTGGAGGTCAGCCTGTAGACTGAGGGGGATGGAGTCACTTCTGCAAAGTGGAGAAAAGAAGATTTAGGTCAGAATACACATCATAGTTCCTGCAGTTTTACATACAGCCACCTGGAGATGCACACTGGGATTTTCCACACATATCAAAACACAACCTGTGGTTAAACCCTTTTTTGTGTGTTTAGCTTTATAAACTTCTCCTCTAAGCACACATTTCATCTGGTTCTATGAGAAGGTGAATTCTTAAATCCTTATTCATGGCTCACAGTAAAATATTCCGGACACTGCAATGCTCTCATGATGAATAAATAAAATATTTCAATACAATGCAGGTTTGGGGCTCTCAGCAGCCCTGTGGCTGCATTTTCCATTGGCCTTCACAGATTTCAAGGAGAGCTTCAGCTCACATTTATAAACTGATGCAGTGCTACTGTGTAGGATTGAGAGCTGAGTTTAATCTTTGCTTTGTCCCTGTTCACACACCTCACTGATAAATACTGTAGAAACACTGAAGACATCTCAGCTCCCAGATGAAGAAATTTTCATTTGTTCCCATGGGAAAAATGATTAAAAATCTTCCTTATCACTGAAATAAACATTCTTAATCTGTTCTGCTCCTAGCTGTTGCCACCTCAGAGAAATAGCCATATTTCTCTATTAGTACCATCTCAGGAAAAAAATAAATCCACAAAGCCCAAGGGTTCATTCTCTGGCCCATCTCCAGAATTGTAATTCATCCATTCCAGCTTTGCCCTGGCTTTGAAGAACCTGATAAAACTCTTTGTGAACCCTGCAGAAATACAGCCTGATGTCTGCTGGGACTCCCTCAGCTCCCATATTCCCAGTTGGTGTTTTGCAAATACAAAATTGTTTGTTAGGGGTGAAAGGCAGGAGCTGCTAAAAATCTTGATGATAAATCCCTGCATAAAATACAGATGAGCCAGGGTAGATCACTGCCATGGGGTACATGGAAATGAAAGAGAAGAGGAGGAATTTGTCAAGCTGCTCTCTTTCTCTCTCATCACCAGTACTGTGCTTTCTGAAGAGATAAACATCTACCTCACTCCAAATTAGGGTGTTTTTCTCCTTTTCAATCTGTGCAGTGCTTTGATCTTGAACACATGAAACAATAAAGTCTGTTTTTCACAGGAAGCTTCTGCAAAATATTAGTTTCCTGTTCTTACTCAGAGTGGTGGCTGCCTCTATTCTGGTGCTGCAGTTCAGTTCCTGTAAGTTCCTTGGTTTGTTTGCCCATGAAGGTTTGAAATCATTTTGGTAAAAACATCTACTTTAACCACAGCCCTGTGACCTGTTATTCTGGCTTGATGAGCTGGTGCCTGTGCTGGAGGTGCTGTACATTTATCACCTCTATTTACAGGAAAGAGTAAATAATGAGGTAGATAATAAAAGAAGAGAAGTAAATAATGATCATCTGAGCTTTCCATGCTGCCCAGTTTCATCTTTACTGAAGGATGTCCTCCAGGTGGAGGAGCAGGAGCTGTTGAAATGCAATTCCTGCCCAATCTACAGAGACAGCCAAGGCTGATTTCAGGGGAGCTGAACCCTGTTCCAACACCACACTGAGACCTGGGCCCTTTCTTTTTTCCCTTCCAAACAAGCTGTAGCAGAAATCCTGAATTAATTCCCAGCTGCTACCATGCAGAAAATTATCAAATTCTCCATTCCTTCCAAAGCAATCTGCATCTCTGGTCAGACTGGGACTGGGGTGAATTTTTGGTGATCTGACCACTCCTCAGCCTGGGACGTGATATTCCACAGCTGGAGTTGGGCTGGAGCTGGTGCCCACCCCAGGAGCACCTGGACCCCTCCTGCCCACCCACACAGGCCAATCTTGTGCCCAGAGGAGCAACTCCACTGGATCAAAAAGCACTTCATGATGTTTTCTGTCTGCCCTCCAGTGCATGTTCCAAAAGACCTGCCAGATGTCCTCTGTGAAATCTGTCACATTGTAGGAATTCTGAGGACAGCCTGGCTGCCAGGTGAAGAAATTTTAATTTATTTCAATGGGGAAAGTCTAGAAAGGGCCTCAAAAATCTCCTTCCTCACTGAAATAAATGTTCTTTATCTGTGCTGCTCCCAGCTGGATGCTGAGGTGGCTACAGCAAGACCAGATGAACACATTTAGGACTGGAACCCTTCCTAGACTCTGTCTGGAGACACCCAGGCAGCAGAAGCATGCCCTAGTCCAGCATCAGCCCTGTCATCCAAAGGGCAGAGAACTCTGAGGACACATTCAGTGCTTGCAAATATCAATATGCTGCTTCACTGACAGAGTTCAGGCATAATTCTGGTCTCCTTCCAAAAAACGTGTTTGTTTTTCTGTAATTAGACTTGGGGAAGTCAAACCACCAAAACCTTCTCACAAAGCTTTTAAGGGGAAGATTTCCCACTGAACCAAAAGTAACAGTGAATTAATAAAGAAAGATACCCAGCATGTAAGGAGATGGAATAAACAGTTCTGTAGTACCAAACCAGGACAAATCCTGGGATTTTAGCTTGTGTTCACATTCAGAAAAAATTGAGATGAATTTTTTCTGAGTTTTTTCTTATTGGGAAGCAATACCCTGTTTGTGTTCATGTACAGATCTACTCAGGCACCACCTAAACCTCAGGAGAACACTGCTATGATGTCCTCTGCTGCTCCTTTCAACAATGCTAAGAAAATATTTTGGGGGTCAGAAGGAACAATTCTGCTTCTCTAATCCACTCTCTGACAGGTGATTGAGATGGATTAACCCAGCTGGGTGACAATTTCAAAACAAAAAGACTTCAAGTGGCTGCTCATGAACGTCCTGAGAACCTCTGTCATTTTCACAAAATGCTTTTCCATTATTTTCTTGCAAAATCAGACTGGTTTTCAATTGCCAGCTCAAGTTTTCTATTCTATATAGCAGACATTTTGTTTCCAGGGGGAAAAAAAAAAATCTTAGAATCATACAATGGTTATGGATTTTAAAATAGAAAGATCAGGACATATTCCCTTAGGCTAAGACTTAGAAAATCCAGTCTCCAAGCCCTTATCAGAAGAAGCTCCAGTGACCCTGCCATGGCTGTTAAAGCTGGGTGGGCATCACCAGCTGCTGTGGGTCAGTGCCACAGCACAGCCAAGCCCTGCTGGCACTGCAAGGCATCATCTCTAACTGGCTTCTGCCAAGGGAAGCTGAAAAGAAATTGGAATATTCTTCCATGAAATCCCTGGTCCATCTGATGCCATGATGATTTTTTTTTTTCCTTTTCTTTTTGTATACCTTTTATGTATTCTCAGTACTCTTATATTTGTAACTCTTTAAGCCTGATATCTCAGCATAGTCCTGCTATTCTGTTAGGCCAGGAGAACAAACATCCTAAAGGCCTCACAGATGGAAAACCCTACACTATCTTGGGAAAACAAGGTTCTGTCCAGAACACATTCTGTAAACTGGGATCAGGCTCATCTGGGGGAATACATTAGAATGGGGAAATGTCACACCATTCATTTGAGCTTCTCATTAGGGAATCTTTGTCAGTTATGCTAATTTGTAAGGTCTACAAAATTGTATACACAATCTACTGTGTGTGTGCATTTCAGAGTATTCCACCTTGGTGAATCATTGCACCTAAAAGATCCTTATTCAATACTGAGATAAAATCCCTTTTATCCCTTAACTGTGTCTGACTCTTAATTCAAGGACCAGAGCAAAAGGCATCACATCTGCCCAATAAACAAATGATTTACTATTCCTGGTGTTAATATGGAACAGAAAGCTCAAACTTACTTGGGGTAACAACAAGCTGGGTCCCAGCTCCAAATGTGGGTTTGCTGTATCCCTGGTTGGCACACCGGTGCCAGCCTCTACAAAAATGTGGGCAGGTTTCTGCCATGCATGCTGGCAGCCAGGTCAGCAGACAGCCCAGAGCAGGGGCTGACTTCAGGGAGCAATGATGAAACATGCTGACTTAATATCAAAGTACCAAATAAATCTACCAGAAAATTATCAGGATCAGAAACACAGGGATCAAATTTAAAAACTGATCTTTCATTCACTGGTTACAGTTGTGTGGTGCTGTATATTTTGGGGCAATACAAGGAATGATCTGCTTTTCCACCTGTAACATCACCTCAAATTCCAGATCACTGAGCCTTGCAGCTGGGGCCACAACCTTTCAGCCCAGCTTTTCTCCTCAGTATTTACTACCTTCAAATAAAGCCTTTTTCTGACCCAGAGATGGGGTAACTGAGGGGTGTTTTAAAAACTTCTCTTCTGTTTTCAGTCTCACGTGAAGGGTGAGACAATGCAGATGTTATAATTCACACCATCACAATCAGAAGCCAACTATTTCCTAATTTCAATACACTATAAGTGTTTTTTGGCCTATTTCGCCACACCATGCTGTAAATACCTTAAAGCCAATCATCTAAAATTACCCCTCGTGGTCCTACTACAATGCATCTTTCACAATTCTGTTTCTCCAAAGTATCTTGTGTTATTTGCAAGGCCGTCCTTTGAAACTTGTTTCTAGTTCCATTTCTCTCTCAGCAATGTCTGTCCTGTTCCATGACATTTCTAAGTCAGCATTTCTTATCTCCAGGTTTGCACACAGATGCCCACTGTGTGAGCCTTCTGCCAGGCTTGGAGAATTCCCTACAAATCCATTTCCCACGTACTTTGATCACCAACAAGGTTCTTTTTCCTAAAGTCAGTTTTTTCCCTCTCCATCCCCATAACTCACAAGACCCAGGAATCCTTTGTGAGCACCCTGTGGCTGCAGCTGTGTCCTCACAGCTTTCATTGCCTCTGTCTGGGTCTCACAGGCAGTCTGATAACTCCATTTTTTGGGAATTCACACTCTGTCTCCCAGCTCTGCAGTGCCTGGAGTGTCACAAACGGTCCTGCAGCAGCTCAGCAGAGCTGCAAGCCCCAGGCACAGGCAGAATTCCCTTGGAATATTTGTGGATAACTCAGTGTCGTGTCCACACATCAGCTAAGCCAGGTAAAAGCAGTCACTCCCCATTCCAACACTGATGTTAAAAATGTTGTAGTGCAATGCTCCTCGGTGGTGTTCTGACACAAAGACCAGATAAAATGGTGATTATCACCCTAAGTGGGTATTTTCTAAATCACAAAGTGGTTTGGATTGGAGAGAACTTTAAAGATCATCTAAATCAACTCTCCTGCAATGACCAGGGACAACTTCAACTAGGATTGCTCAGAGCCCCATCCAGCCTGACCTGGAATGTGTCCATGAATGAGGCATGTACCACCTCTCTGGGCAACCTGTGCTGCTGTTTCACCACTCTCACATTAAAAAAAATTCTCCTTTAGTTTCAATCTATTCTCTTTTAGTTTAAAACCATTACTCTCTGTCCTGTCACTACAGCTTGTTTTAAAAACTTATTCTCCATATTTCTTATAAGTCTGTGAGTACTTTTAAGTACTGAAAGGCTGAAATAAGGTCTCTCTGGAGCTTTGTCCAGGCTAGACGACCCCATCCCTCTCAGCCTGTCCCACAGGAGAGCTGCTCCATCCCTCTGAGGGATTTTGTGGCATTCCTTTAACCACTCCAGCAGGTCCTTGTCCTTCCTGGCACCCCAGAGGTGGGCACAGCTCTGCAGCTGGGGTCTCCCCAGGGCAGAGCAGTGCAGGGGGGACAACCAACCCCTCAATCTCCTGGGCAATGCTGCTGGGGATGCAGCCCAGCATGGATTTGGCTTTCTGGGCTCTGGGTCATCCCTGGCTCTTGGCCAGCAGTGGAAATATTATAAACATCCTTCCTTCTCAATGCATTTCTACCTGACTTGTGCAATCCATGGCTTTTCTTGAGGCCAATGGAAGTGGGCTGGATAGACCCTTTAGGAGGGAACAAATCCACCTGACTGACCCTGCAGCACAGCAGAACCAGCTCTGTCTGGGCTGATCCCAGGAGGGCAACCAGAGGAGGAGCCCTGGGAGCCTGGACAGCTGCCCTGAGCTAAATGCCCTTGCTCGAGGTGGGCTGCAGTGCCCTGAGAGCTGCCATTCCCCAGGTCTTGGTGTGTATTAACAAGCCTGGAAATTATTAAAAACATCAGGGTAAATGTACCTGGCAAAACCAGAAGTCTTGTCCCAGATCCAAATGTGAGTTTGTAATTACTTCCAGAGCTACACAATAGCACAGGCCTCTACAATATCCAGAGCAGCACAGAATGGAGCCTTCAGCAATTAAATACTCCACCAAAAGAAATCCTGTTTATCTCTATGAACACACAGATCCATTTACCTGGGACTTTTCCACCTACTGACTTTCTTTTCATGAAGTATTTTGCATTTTGCACTCCCAAACACACTCTCCTTAATATTCCCCTCAATCATGTTTGTCCCACTGTTTCCAGAAAGCCACCTGCACCACAACTTCTATTCTCCATCTTATTCCTCATTTATTTATTCTGCCAGTCAGATTCCTCTCTCAAAAATTAATTTATTTACTGTTACTGCAGCAAATCAGTCCCTATGGACTGACGGTGCAGTGAAACCTCCATCATCCCATTCCCTTGGATTTGCCACCTGAATTAGTCCAGAGTGATTCCAATAAAGTTGCCATTTAGTTTTTGAGTAAAGAGCTCTTTTTGGTGTGCAGTTTCATTTGGGCAGGGAGATCATTGCTCACTCTGCCACTGAATCCTGAGGTTTCAGGATGTGTTAGGAACGTTCCTCCAGTGGGACCAGAGCAAGATCTGGAGCAGCTGCACACAGACATGGTAAATAATGGTAAATCTATGGTAAATTTACCATAATGGTAAATCTGGAGACACCAACATGAACTCAGAGCTCTGATTCACAGCTCCTTTAGCTTGCTGATGGCTCCATATAAACTTGAGATTCTCATTTCTCTCAAATGTTTCTGAAGAGGGTCAGGGGGGTCATTTAAAAAAAAATTATTTTCCTCAGAGGTTTCCAGAAGGAATTCTTTCCCTATGTTGTTGTTTTTTAACTTGAAGAATAAAATAATGTTGAAATTATCTTAAGAATCACTACTATTTTAAGAAATAAAAACATTACTTTCCAGGTATAAACTCACTCAATTTAGATATTAAACAATCCTAAATATATTTTAAAGGAATTTGGAAAATTTGGTACATTTACAACAAATATCAATATCTTGGCAAGTGTTACTTTCCCTTTTACAAAGGGTTTCAAACAAGAAATGTAGGATTTTGGGGGGATTTTTTTCATACATTTATGGCAGCAACAGTTAAAGCACACTTTCCTATCCATCCTTTTTTCTTCAGAAAAAATATTTTGAGGTAAGAGTCACCTTTCCATCCTTCCCCCAAAGTCATTCAGTAATTAATTTTTTCAGTAATTAGTAATTACTATTATTATTTAGTATTTATTCAGTAATTAACTATTTCCCCTCCATCCAAATATTTCTCCCACCCTCAGTTTTAAGGCTGGTCACGCTGCTCTCCACCAGCTCCAGATCCTCACTTCTAACCTGCTCCAAGCTTCACCTGGATGTTGCAGGACAAGGTAAATCAACACAAACTGGCTGTGACATCAGCTTGGTGTCACCCCTGAGCTCCCTGCCTGCCTTGTGTTTATATCATTATATTCTGTTTATATCCTGTTTATAAACAGAAACCCACCCCCACGGTCACAGCTCAAGGATCTCCACAGCACTGACCCAATATGTGCATTTTTTGTGTCCACACACAATTATGAGTCTAGTTATCCCCAACTATTTCTATCCACATACAAGAAAAGTCCTTTTTACCTCCTACAGCTTTATCAAACCTCTGCATTTTGCTGGTCTGTGCTGGCTTTCACCATTTCACTTCTCCTCTGTTTGAGGAGATTGATGTAGGAGCCCAGTTCCTGAATTTCCAAGACAAATCCTCTTGCAGATGTAAAACCTCTATGTTCATTCTCAGGAACAGGGAGAGGAGAATATACTTGCAGCCATGGAAATCACTTGCTCTTAATACCAACTGAAAATTCGTTGTCCTGTTGCTAAAATATTGTGGGGTGGCAAAATAGTTTGTGAGCTAAAAGAAGAACTTCTACCTGGATTTTACCTGAATTCTACCTGAATTCTACCTTCTACCTGAATTCTACCTGAATTCAGACATACCTGGAGAAACCACGAGTTTGGTTCCAGCTCCAAAGGTAAGCTTGCCATAAGTCCCAGAATTACACTGTGACACAGCCCTTTGCAAAATGGTGCCCCGGGGTGGGTGTGTGCTGGGTGAAGGCTGGAGAACATGGCAAGGTTTTATTGTAAACAGCCCACAGAATCACAGAATAAATTAGGTTGGAAAAGACCTTTGAGATCAAGTCCAACCTGTGACCCAGCATCTCCCTGTGACCCAACCCTGGCATTGAGTGCCCGTCCAGGCTTTGTTAAACCCTCCAGGGATGGACTCCAGCCCCTCCTTGGGCAGACAATTCCAGTGCCCAACTCCTCTTTCAGTGAAGAATTTTTTGCTGATGTCCAACCTGAACTTCTCCTGGTGCAGCTTAAGGCTGTGTCCTCTCTTTCTGTCTGTGGTCACCTGGGAGCAGAGCCAGACCCCACCTGGCTGCACCCTCCTGTCCGGGAGCTGTGGAGAGTGATGAGGTCTCCTCTTCTCCAGGATAAACACCCCCAGCTCCCTCAGTTGTTCCTCACATGGTTTGTGTTCCAGACCCCTCCCCACTCTTGTTCCCTTCTCTGGACACGCTCCAGCCCCTCCATGTCCTTCCTAAATTGGGGGGCCCAGAACTGGACACAGCACTCGAGGTGCTGCCCGACCAGTGCCGAGCACAGGAGCAGAATCACTGCTCTGCTCCTGCTGCTCACACCATTCCTGATCCAGGCCAGGAGCCATTGGCCTTCTTGGCCACCTGGGCACACTGCTGCCTCATGTCCAGCCTGCTGTCCATCAATGCCCCAGGTCCCTTTCTGCCTGGCTGCTCTCCAGCCTCTCTGTCCCCAGCCTGTGGCACTGCAGGGTTGTTGTGGCCAAAGTGCAGGACCTGGCACTTGGCCTTCTTAAACTCAGCTCATCTATCCAGCCTGTCCAGAACCCTCTGCAGAGCCCTCCTGCCCTCCAGCAGATCCAAACATGCTCACCAACATCACTGGTTGGTGATCCAGTAATGCTCACCATGACTGGTGAACCTCTATCACCTCAGCACAAATCAGCCCTTCCTTCAGCCCCATTCCTCTGCCTGGTTAATTCCTCATCTGTGTATTCTGTCCTCTCTCTCCATGCAGCAGCAGCACCTGTCCATCCCTGTGTGCACACACAACCTCCCAGAATGTGTTTGGAGCCTCCTGACTGCTGCTGCTGAGTCCCACCAGGCTGTGTCACCTTTCTGTTCTCTCTTCTTGCCATGTCCACCCTCTTTTGCAGGGTGCACTTTATGTTGTAATGATTCATACTTGAAATTTTAGCAACATGGGATTGTTCAGGTTGGAAAAGCCCTCCATGACCATGAAGTCCAACCCATACCCCAGCAGTGCCATGCTCACCCCTGAACCATTAAATTCAGCAAGGAGTGTCCAAACACATCCTCCCAGTCCCAATTTTGGCCCACGTGGGAATCCCAAATCCAGGGGTCTCCTGGGCCATGGCAGGGCTGCAAACATTGTGCTTCCCAAAGCTGTGCCCCTCCAAACAACCAAGAGCAAGAGAGAAATGAAGCAATTCCCCTTCCCAGGCCAAGGGCTGGCTCACCTGGCAGGACTGAAAGCACCGTCCCCTTGCCAAAAATGATTCTGGCTGCCACATTTACACCCTGACACATTCCATTGCAAAAACTCCTCTGCCAGCCCTGCACTCAATCTCAAACAAAACTGTTCAGGTTGGAAAAGCCCTCCAAGACCATGAAGTCCAACCCATACCCAGCAGTGCCATGCTCACCCCTAAACCATGAAATTTAGCAGGGAGTGTCCAAACACATCCTCCCAAACCCCACTATTAACAGAAAACATCCATAGCTCGTGCCATTCCCATTTCTGCTCTCTGGGTTGTGGCTCCAGTTCTGCAGCTCCAGCAGTAACCCAGAGATCACTGCTAGAGCTGCTGCAACAGTCTGAACTGCATTTTGCTCCTCCTTTGCAAAAATTACCCCTGGTTTTGAGTGGGCTAAAGTTTTCCACTGGGATCAGTGTCCCAAATCTCAGAAATCTTATTTAGTCTTACATATCCCTGCTCTTGCATTTCACTTACTTGTTGTCACTTTTCCAATAATTCCTTTCCCCAGCACTGACACATTTCCAGAACACACTGGTTAAGCACAAAGTCTCCCAGTTATTTTTTCAGAACACTAAAACCAGCCCAAATTTCTCCACAAATCCACTGCAGTGCTCTTGGTGCAGCTCAGCATTGTCTCTGTTGGGTCCAGCTTGGCTCAGACAACTCACCTGGGGCAATGAAAAGTCTGGTTCCACTCCCCCAGATCAGTTTTCCCCAGTTTGCAGAGGTCACACAGCGTGAGAGCTCATTACAAAATGGGCCTCTCCATCCAGCTCTCAGGGGCTGCTGCAGGGCTGGGATCCCCTGAGCTGCCCTGCCAGGGGCTCTGAGCACCCACACCGATTTCCAGAGATCTCCTCTGGCCTCTCTTTGCCCAAACCCCATTTCTCTGTTCAATCCCTGGGGAGAACTGCACTGGATTGGGGCCACCAAACTTTTCAGAGATGGGAAGAAGCTCCCCCTCAGTTATCAGGGAGAATTTGGGATCCCTGCCCCAAAGGCTGCTTGCCCTGCAATGGCAAAGGGAAGAAGCCCCTGGAGGCAGCCTGGATCAGGGTCCCTGGCAGCCTGGATCAGGGCACCTTGCCAGCAGCCCAGATCTCCAGCTCCAGGAGGCATTTAGCAGTGCCAGAGGTGCTCCAGCACTGCAGGGCTGGCTCTCCACTCCAGCTGGGCCATTCCTTGCATTGCCCAGAAGCAGGACAGAATTTTTGGGGCACAGAGATTGCAGCACTCAGGCTCTGAGCCCCTGCCCTGGCCATAGGGGACTGGAGCCCTGAGCCCAAGGGGAGCTGGAGCTGCTGTCCCAGAGCAGAGCCCGTGACAGAAGCCCAGAGCTGGCCATTCCCAGGCACTCACAAGCTCTGAGCACAAGATTATCCATCTGTCTCTCTCTCCCAAACCTCCCCTCTACAACTTTGGGCTGGTGCACTATCAGCATGGCATTGCCATGCCCACAGCTCATTGTCTAAAGAGCAAATCCTCCTGCTGGAAATGATTCCAGGCACCAGTCTCCTGGGAAAAGGCTCTGGACGCTGGAACAGAGCAGAGGCCAGGGGCCATGTGGGAATCCCAAATCCAGGGGTCTCCTGGGCCATGGCAGGGCTGCAAACATTGTGCTTCCCAAAGCTGTGCCCCTCCAAACAACCAAGAGCAAGAGAGAAATGAAGCAATTCCCCTTCCCAGGCCAAGGGCTGGCTCACCTGGCAGGACTGAAAGCACCGTCCCCTTGCCAAAAATGATTCTGGCTGCCACATTTACACCCTGACACATTCCATTGCAAAAACTCCTCTGCCAGCCCTGCACTCGATCTCAAAGCACCTGCAAATCCAGGCACCAGCAAAGCTTCCTGACACAACAGGCTCCATTCCCTGCACCAGGCAACATCTTCTTCCCCAGCTCCTGCCTGGAAAGCAGCAGCTCCCTTTGCTCTTGCCAGTTTTGAGCAGCCTTGAGGGACAAGTCCCAGCCATGGCAAGGCTTCCCCAGAACCAGTGGCACCTGCTCCTCGGCAAGGACCCCCTGGGCACCCCCAGCTTTGGGTCTGGGGGGGTTTCAGAGGTGGCTCTGAGCCCCGTGGGTGCCCCAGGAGCTGGGCACACTTTGTGCAGCCCAAACCCAGATGCCCTGGCTGAGGAAGAGGAGAGCAGGCTGGGCAAGAAGGGCCAAAGCAGCAGAGTCTGTTCCTGTCTGGGGATGCCTGGGAAGTGCTGAGGGAGGTGGGAAGGGAGGACAGGGACAGCAGGGTCAGGAATTGCCCCAGTGGGCAGCTCTTGTACTCACCGGGCTGCACAAGCAGGCGTGTCCCTGGCCCCAGGGTCAGTTTGTAGCTCCCTGAGCTCACACAGTCCTTCAGAGCCCAACAAAAACCATCAGCTCTGCTGCCTCTTCCTGCTCCATGAGAAGCAGAGCAGCTCCTGCCCAGCAGCAGCATCTCTGGGAGCCAAGGATCCCTGCAGCCCTGGGAGGAAGGTCGGGGAATGCCCCCCAGAGCAGGGATGGCAGCTGGGGCTGTGCTGCCAACAGGAGCAGTGTCCATTGCTCCTTTACTCCGTGGAGCCAAGGAGCAGCTCCCTGGGCTGGGCCAGACACAGCCTCCAGCATCCCAGCCTGATTCCAGAGCTCTGCAGGGCCATGGCAGGAACTGTCCATCCTGAGCAAGAGGGCTCAGGAGCTCTGCCTGGGGGGAGGAGAGAGCAGGGGCTGCCAGGGCAGAGAGGAGGAGGAAATTCATGGCCCTGCTGAGGCCAGGTCCCTTCTGTAGGCAGAGAAAACAGCAAAATTCCCCTGGATTGAATCCATCTCCCCGCACTTCCCTCTCACTGACTGGGGACTGCAGGGCTGTTCCACAGGGGAAAGCAGGAATAAACTTTCAAACTTACTGGGATTGACTCTCAGCTGAGTTCCACCTCCAAAGCTGATCTTGTTGCCATAACCACTCACACACAGTGTTTGCCTTCTCAACAAAAACCCTGTCAGTCTCCTCCTGGGCTGGTTCCCTGGAAAGCTGTGCTCTGCTGCCTGGGATTTCTCTGGCACAGTCCCAGCTGGGCATCCCCTTCAGGCCTGGCAGAGATGAGCCCTGGCAGCATCTCTGCCCCACACAGAGAAGTGCCCAGTGATGAGCACAGCTCTCACTCAGCACCAGGACCTTGCCCCCAAATGAGAGATTTTCTCTTGGCCCTTTCTGCCCACTCAGAATGTCTTTCCTGCTCCTGGCTGTTCCCTGTCCCTCATCCCACCCTTGCACCAGCCCCATCCCTGGGCAGAGCCCTTCCCAGCACAGCCCAGGTGGTTTTCCCCAGGTGAGGGATGGCACTTTGCTGTCCTCACTCCTTCAAGCTGCATTTCCACCTTGCAGGTGTCACCTTCAGTTTGGTGCCAATCCCAAAGGCAATTTTCCACCGGATGCTCAATTCCCACCCACTGACAAACCCACACACCCCTTTCACTCC